CTTTTGAAACCACTCGAGAAGGTTTCTAAGCATTATCACTGACAGAAAACATTAATGCTTTGTGTTACTGGTGGCATCAAGACTCCATTGTTACAATCCCTTGTCTCAGAACAGTGAGCATGGTTTACCAACAGAGAAGAGAGACAGAGAGGTAGATTGATTTGAAGTCAGAGGTACAGACGGGAACAGTCTGGATCATTTTCGGTACAGGAAAAAAGGACAGGAAGACCCGAATTTGAGTGTGGTGTAAGTTAGGAATGAGGTCCCCAAACTTTACAAAGTGTTACTAAATGACCAATTAATAATGTGGACTTCTAATCCCTGAAAATCTTCGGGTGCCCTTTAGTAAGTATTTGAATTTAAAAAACTTTTAGACTTTTATGTAAAATTTGAGTAGGTTAAATTCCCCAGAAGTAAGATAAAAAAACGGAACCCACCAAAGGGCGATGCTGTGTTCTTCCCCCCTGTAATAGAGGATTAAGAGCTAGGTCAATCGAGCCGGTGGAACGTTCAAATTTTAGTACGTTTGTCATTGTACAAAATGTGTCTCAACTTGGAGTCTTATACAAGTACGAAAAGTCAGGTGTAGCGGTAGATAGTATGTGGAGACAGTTGTTTTGTAACTCTACACGCATGTTAAGCGATCGATCTTCCACTTTGTGAAAAGAAAAAATTATCCCCCCCCCCTGTTTACTGTAAATGTAGTTTCCAGATAATTTGGACACAATGACTTGAGACATCCGAACCGGCAGTACCCCTATTGTGTGTCAAATGAATCTACAGTCGTAAGTCGTTACCGATGCCACAAGTGCTTTATGGGAAAAGACTACTTTTGGATCTGATGCATGTTATGACGACGAGTAGGGTACCCAGTGTAAAACTCCGACCCCTCTTTCGGTTGTCGAGAGAAATGTAAGTAAACTCGGAGACCTGACACCACCAACTTCCGGTTGCACCGGGATATACGCGTGCGGTAGCGTTACACAACTTTGGCTCAACCATAGAGTGACCCAATTTATGTGATGTTATACTGATTGCGGTCAGATACTACCAGTGATAAATGTATGAACTGGTTTCTCGACGGTCGAACCACAACCCTACAAACCCCATTTACCGATCGTCTTCTTTTTTTTTTGCTGAAAAGTTTTTGCGGGAGGGCAGTAGTGCTCATTACAACGTCTCGGTAGTAAATTCAAAAAGAATTTTTATATTGATACAGATCAGAGACAATAATCACATCGCGAAATTCAACTGGTGCCGTTCATACACCACTTACCGGGTTCTTCAATAAATACTTAGGTTTAACTTTTTGTATTTTTGTCTACGATGAGAAGGTACCCTCACCGCGCTCCGTTCCTAGCTTGTACTCCTAGTGACAACGCTCAATTGGTGTGAAAAAAAAAAAAAAAATTTTTTCGGACTCTCCCCCAAAAAACGACGGACGACAAGTGACGTATCAACACGATCAGGCGAAACTATTGTTCGGGGGGGTCGACCAGAAACCCGCCCTAAAAGTAATGTTCGACTTATTAAAATACATAAATGTTTCTCTTTTTTTCTCTTAAAAAACTTTTCATAGGTCTCAGGCATAAGAAGTACGCGTAGAGATAATTTAAAATCCTTCTTCACACATCGTCGGACTTCGTCCATGTTAACGTTTTCCGTCCAACGTCACATGTCTACGGCGATTGTCAGTGACCCAAATCTTCGAAACGGTAACCAAAGTTCTTTCTGATGAAAACTAGGTTTTGTTCCTTTCCGATCGATCGGTTCGTTGGTTGGATTTAGATAATCAGGACATAAAATTTAAGCAAGATACTTAATAATGGTCATACCTAATCGGGCCTGGTGGTCGATCAGATAGACATGGTCTCGGATGTACCAACTCTATTATATCTTCGCACATCTCAAACTCGACCTCTACTCCCGACTTTCTTCTCGTTTTCCCATAGGGGTAGAACTTCTTCGTAAGCGTACCGAAATAGCGATTTTGTAAGTCAGTCCGGCGCAGGGTCGCTCGGACGAGACCGCAAAGTGTCACAGACGGTGGCTCCGTCCCCGGTTAGTGTCTTGTGTTGCTAACTTCCTATCGATTTTTTCGACCAGACACCACAGTTCCTTCCACTTTGTCGGAGCTGTCGGTGCGGTCTGAGACCTACCAGCGGCGACTTCTCCGTGTGTGAGTCGCTGGTCCGAGTACACTCTGCATAACTATTCCCGAATCCTAATCCGCCACAAGTGTAAGGACATGACTTTTTGATGACAAAGGGCGCACCTGAGCACAGAACCATTTTTCTCTTTGTCTCCCCTTCACACTCCTTATGGACCTTCGGGTAAACTAAGACGTTACTCCGACTCCCCATGGCTCGAAAGGAAACCGATTCTCAGCAAAACTTCCTGTAATAAAAACCGGGTTATCTTTGCACTGTCACGGACGTAGGGGTGGTATTACCGGGCCCTTCCTTCGCAATGGTAGTTATACGGAACCGTCCCCTCGCTAGGTTGTCACAAAGGGGTAAGTCAGAAACCGTAACCCTGAAGGTCCATGGACGTGTAGGCATCGACGAGATCTACGATTTTAGCTAAAGGTGTCCCCACTTCGTTTTCGTAAGACGTTTAATAGTTTCGTACGTCATACATGTGTGTGAAACTATAAGTCCACCAGAAGGTTAAGTTTCCTTCCCCACTTACGATGAATAAGCCCATTTATACTATTTTTCGAATAAGTCTAAAAGAAAACTTTGGTGAGCTCTTCCCCAAAGATTCGAATAGTTGACTGGTCCTTTTGTAATTACGAAACACAATGACCACCCCGTAGTTCTGAGGTAACAGATGTTAGGGAACAGAGGTCTTTGTCACCTCGGGTACCAAATGGTTGTCTCTCTCTCTTGTCTCTCCATCTAACTAAACTTCAGGTCTCCATGTCTGCCCTTGTCAGAGCCAGTAAAAGCCATGTCCTTTTTTCCTGTCTTCTCCCCCCCGACTCTCCTGCTCCCACCTTAACCCTCCATATCTCTTCACTGGGTAGGACACCTAGGTCCCTCTAGACTCCGTTATGGTAATTGGTGCTCCCTTCTCTCCCCCCGCAACGATGTACTTAAGTCCCAGGACATAACGAACCCGCCTGGGTCCTCAACTACCCCCTTCACCCCTCTAGAGTTTCCCGTCCTCCCTATACCCCCAACCATAGCAGAGAAGCTGAGTCTCGGAAAACTTGGGGGTACACCCGTGGACACTGGTAGTCCCAACACACGGTGTCACTCTTAGGGACTGACACCCCCTGGACTTCCCTAGGAATCCGAAGTCAGAAGGAGACCACCGAAAGGGTACAAAAGTGACCTTGTAGGTCTGTGCTCCTCACTTCAAACTCTTCTTCGAATCAAACAAAGACCACGGGAAGGAGGTTGGGACGAGGTGGAATCAAATGATATTCGGGTCTGCCCCGGCAGACCTGGGACTAGTACCCTATCGGATCGACATACGGTCAAGTCAAACTCCTCCGAGGCTAGGTGATGAGTCGAAGAAGTTTGACGAGTGAGAGCACAGACCTACAAGGTCACTTTGTACCTATCGTTGGTCTCCTTTGCTAGACGGTCGGACTGCCGTAGGAAGTCAGGGGTGTCAGTCTAGACAGCAACACGTGGTGCTTGCGGAGACTACCATATCAGGGTGTACCCCGAAGTTTCCGAGACCCAGGAAGCACCCTATCTCTGCTAATTGGGTTGTCGTCGATAAGGGAGGAGTGGGAAACTCTAGAGGGTAGCGAACGGGCTTGTTTGAGACAGCAGTTACAGGGCGTTGTGCGACTATTTATGCCTGGACTTTAGTACCTCCTCATCGTTGGGGGGCTAGAGAAGGAGTCCTTACCAATTAGACCATCAAAACGGAGTCTAGAGCACTAAGTGTGACTACCAGTAGAAGAGATATGGAGGTAAGGTGGGGAGCAGAGAGTGGGGNACGTAGTTAGTTATGAAGTTATTACCTTATCCGATAATAATCCAATGCAAAGGCAATAATGTAATATAATACATTATTATATTCAATATTTATATATATTTCTTTTTTATCTAGTCTTAAAGTTACAACCGGCCCTTTGAGTATAATGCTGATGTGGCCGGTGATGAAATTGAGTTTGACACCCCTGCTCTACATCCATCATATTTCATAGACTTTTAAAATAAGAGAACTGAGAATTGTTTTTTTTAAATCAACCCTAAAACAATAAATCAGCTATAGGTCGGCTATGAATAAACTGCATGACCATAGGCAGTGTTGTTACAGCCAGGCGGCAACAGCAGCAGGCAATTATGTTAAAGCTTGTGACACACACTCACAGGCGGGGGATGGGGAGAGGGAAGGGGGTAGATGGGAGTAGTTTCCCTCCAGTGAGTCATCAGTGCGTGAGTCACTGAAGCTCGGTTTAATTGTGTGCCTGTCACGTTATGCTGATATACACGCCCGGGTTCCATCTACAGTTTTTTGAGTGGTTGGAGCTAAACGATTTCTGTTGGAAATGACTCCCCTCGATCTTGTACACTGTCCAGGACGATGTTCTGGAAATCAATGATTAAACGGATTGGCATTTGAAGTGCGTGCACAAGCATCGGCCTGATTGGCGTGTGTGTGGCATTTACTGTGACAAATAAGCTTTGTGAAGCGAAACAATAAAAAAAAAAGGGATTTCTGCTTTTTTTTTTTCAGACAAAGAACATTTTTCACACAAAGAGGAAAGTAGCTTCCTCTGCAAATGATGAGAAATGCAACATCACCGTGACTACACAAACATATGAAGGACAATAACGATTTCTGGCTTTTGACAGTCCAAGATTGCAACATGAAGCCTTTCTTGTTACCCAATAACAGGACAATCAAACACGAGACTGACTGCTTACATAACAACCAACAAGGACCCCTCTTCTAAGCAGAACAAGGTCTTGCATTTTGTGTAACTAAAATGTTTCACTTGTGGTAAATACACTTTCCAGCTCTATTTCAAATCCTCAAGTGGAAGGTGGCGAATCGATGGAAATGAGGAAGGTTTTCACACCTGTGCAAAAACAAGCGAGACTGTGGGATTGTTTGTTTTGGGGGACAAAAACTGGTCGATGTGGACCACCCATGAGCAAAATCAGCTTTTCTAAACTGTTCCGACCACGAAGCATCTTCCTTTATACATATATTGCCTTATGAAACGAAAATGCACTTTAAAAAAAAACGTTTTCTTTTCTTACCACTTAACACGTCGGGGCTGATGTAGGCCGGACTTCCTCTCTGGTCTTTCAGCAGGTCGTCCTCGCTCACCAGGTGCTTTCCCAGGCAGAAGTTGGTGATGGTGATTCTGTGAGTCCTGTAAGCACACACAAACAAGCATGTTAAATATAGGATATGCTTCAGTTTCAAAATACCTTGATATCTCCACTCTGATGACCACACTCCTCGTGTTCTCCCCTTTGATTTGATCCAACAAAAGCAAAAACAGTCTTACTCATCATGACCAATGTAAGTTTGGAATGCGAAACACTGCACACTCATCGCTCAGAGCATTAAGTACACACAGGACGAACTTGCTAGCATGCCTTGTTGTTTTGATAACCTCATGGTTCACTGGGCCTTTACAATACATCAGTATCTCATGACTGCCAGATGCAAAACTGAACACGCACACCCAGTCCTTTTAGAAGGGAGTCTCCCATCTTTGTGCGGTATATTTGTAGTCAAGTTGCTGGTCATTTCCTAAACTCTGATTTAGTAGATCTTTGTATGTTCCCCCTGTAGTGAAATGCATGTGAAGACGCATTGAGGTTACCAGCGATATTTGATTGATTTCATTTCATGGGATGCAACGTGATACCATGACATGTTTCTCTGACTCATTAAGGTACATTTGCTTTGCCTCTGGACTAAGCCGTGTCCGCATTAAGCCGAGGGACTATGGACCTTTCTATACCAGTGTGCTCTTTCAGCAGGGAGAGAGAAAATCAAAAGCTGCACTTTGACAAACATATGAGTCAACTTGTGGCTTGAGATAATTGTCTGGATGACTAAGCCTGCATAGTGATTGGTTGCCAAACGAGTATAAAAAGCTCAAGGAGATTTAAAATACACACACACACACACACACACACACACACACACACACACACACACACACACACACACACACACACACACACACACACACACACACACACAGTCTAGAGCCCGGGTCCTCTCTATAAACACGATGCTCACCCACATCCGCTTTCTAAAAAGCATGAGGTCAACAGCTTCCCTTATTCTCTCTCACTTTCACACCCTGCTCCCTCACACACACTCACACACTCACTGCTCCCATTACAACGTCTGGAGCCAATTTCTGTCAAACACTCCATTTGA